GAGAGAGCTAATGCGCTCCCTAGAGCAGCATAATTTATTATCTGATGCACAGCATGGGTTTCGTAGTGGCAGATCTTGCGTGACTAACTTGCTCAACTGTTTGGAACGCTGCACTCGGTCAGTTGATGAAGGAAATGCGCTGCATGTGGTCTACATCGACTTAGAAAAGCATTTAATAGTGTTCCACATCAGCGACTCCTGCACAAACTGAGCCGAACAGGCGTTAGGGGTAACCTCTTTAAATGGATTCAAAGCTTCCTATTAGACCGCTCTCAAACTGTCCATGTCGGTGACCAGCAGTCGACGGAGATTTCCGTTGAAATCGGTGTTCCCCAAGGCTCAGTTCTCGGCCCTACGATGTTCATTATTTACGTCAACGATTGCGTGAGTGAACTGGATTGTGGTGTCGCCATGTTTGCAGATGACATTAAGCTCTGGAGCGTCATTCGAACTGCAGATGACTAAGAGCATTTGCAGGCGAACCTAAACCGACTCCAACAGCGGGCAAAGGACTGGCTTCTGCCGTTCAATGAGAAAAAGTGCAATATTCTACGAGTCGGCAGAGCTCGCTCTCCTAGTCATATGGCCAACTGCCTAAATGTAATACCACTGCAAGAAGTGGATTCGCAGAAGGACTTGGGAGTATGGACTACGACCTCGCTCAAACCCTCGCTGAACTGCACGAAGATAGCCAAGTCTGCAATTTCAGTCCTCTGCCTTGTCAAGCGGGCTTTCTCTGCCTTTGATGAAGACTGATTCGCTAAAGTATTTCGAACGTTTGTGCGGCCGCAACTAGAAGTTGCTATCCAAGCTTGGAGGCCCTGAACCGCGAAGGACCTCAGCATCCTTGAAGGGGTTTAAAGGCGTGCAACGAAACTTGTGGCAGGACAGGATTCACTACCATATGCAACGCGGTTAACTAACCTTGATCTCCTTCCCTTGATTTACAGACAGTTTCGGGGTGATCTGATACAAGCCTTCCGTATCATGCGCGGTCAGGACTGCAGCCTCGTACTGGGGGACTTCTTCGAGTTAGCAATCACCACAAACCTACGAGGCCATCCATTCAAACTACGTGTGACAGGGGCCAGGCTGGACACACGAAATTTCTTCTTCCCTAACAGAGTGCTAGAAGCCTGGAACGCCCTGCCTGTGGATGTCGTTGTGTCTACTTCCGTCGGGGTCTTTAAGAGGAAGCTAGATTTGTGTAGCAAAGTCCACTAAATTACCACCCGACCTCTGTAACCTTGACAAATCCTGTTGTCATAATACTACTTGATTTATTTCAGTAACATTTAAGTTGAATTTCTTATTCTCTCCAACCCATCGTCTACGCTTACTGACATGCACCTATGCAACTTTTGTCGGCGGGTATATTATTTATTTCCCTGCACTGGAAACGACCGCTGTAAAACTGCGCTTACCACTAACATTCGAGTCAGTTTGTTTGTCTGCACAGAGCTGACGCTTTTCCGATTATTCGTAACCTTTATAATAACTTTTCCAGTTTTTGAGATGTTGCAGTTGCTTGTAAACAAGTAGGGAGTTCAAAGGTGAAGACCTACATTTCCCTCAATAAAACTGAACTGAACTGCTGCCAACAGTATCTAAGGAAGGTCCCAAGAAACAAGGAGCCCCTGACAAGGGCCCATATCGATAGTCTTATGGAGCTTGGTAAAAACAAAAAAAATTGCGCTAACCAAACCGGATAAAAGTTCACGAATTTTGCTAGTGGATCAAACGGATTAAATGGCGAGCCTAAGGGAAATACTGTCGGATCGTTCCAAGTTTTCAAAATCCGAGAATGCTAAGGATCGCACGGAGGCTGTCGAGGGTCAGTTGAAGACTATTCTCAAAGAGGGTGCGTGAACTTATGCCAGCCTGGCTTGACAGAGATGACGACCCGATCGATTTCAAGTTCCATTCTCGTACAGTTAGTAGAAACGAATCACCGAGTCGATGCTAAGGAAGAATTTCAGATTGTCTACCGGACACCAACATGTTTCTCTAAAGGCCTACGCCAAAGGATGCCAGAAACGTCCGAGGTAGTGACTATATGGCTAGCGAATCCAGTGCTTTACTTTCAGAAATACCCTGACTCAAGCGCTGTCTCTGCCGTGGCCAAAACCATCCGCAAGTGATGACATGTCACCCCAAATCTCCAATTACAGTGATGAGTAATCCGTGTACTCAACCCAAGAACATCGCTCAAAGACTCTTTTATCCCTCTCCCCTAGCAATGAAGACCAAAACCCATCGAACTCGTCATGCAGGCGATGTGGGGAAGATAAGAAAAATGCCCTTGAGACACATATAAACACTGTTAAATTTGTGTATTTTCATTCCTCCAAATAACTATAGTGGCCTGACGAAGAAGTCCCGAAAACATGTGTTTGATAATTTGACTTCTAAAGTCACAAAAGTCCAGAAATCTGTTCTCGGCTAACTACTCGCACTCGAGTTAACAGTGCACGAATGTTTGACGTAGCATCTCGTCATCGCAGATCTTCACCGTCGATCGACAATCCGGCCTTTAGAAGATCTTATGGGAGGTAATGCGTACAGTCAAGCCAAGAGAGTGCTACGCCCAACTTTGTGTGCCAGAAGTGTCCTAATTGGCGTCTTTACTATGTTCCGCTGCGGAAGTACACAACTTTGGGCTGTCGTTATGTCTGAATTACATGCTGCGGCGAGCCTTACTTCTACCTGTCGCACAGTATATGTACAAGTGTTTGGTTAATTCTTCTTGCTTACATTTACGTTTGGTCGCGTAGAAGGCCATTTATGACATTCTCATAGATGTGCGATTCAGGAAACCTTTCCTGTCACGCAGAAACCACTCAGAACACAGTTATACGTAGCGCTAATTTCATCAGCTTTGTTGTGCTTTTCCCTGAATTATTTATAGCAAAGAGCATTTCGGGCTGATTGTTGAATGTCAATGCAAATACCGCATAGGTCAGATGTGGTTATATAGCCCCACCTGAAGTAAACAAATTCCAGCCACCTGAGATACAGGTTCGGCTGTAATGTGGGCTTTTATAGTTGGGGCCGGGGAATGCAAAGGCGAGGAGGTCAAATAGTTGTGTACACAAGAAAAGCTATTGGTAATGTGCCGTTGTACTTTGAGTGGTTCAGCAATAGTTCCCCTAATCACTAACCCTTATTCCTATCTCGAATCCCTAATTCGAATTCCCAAGAATAACTAACAATGTGTAAGGACGCTCTCTCGGCGTGTCGAAACGCACTGCAGTGAGCCGGAAGACAAAATTGCCGAACTACAATACCACCGACGGGTCTTCAAAGCCAATGGCTACCCGCGCAACTTCGTCGACCGGTGCATACGCAAAAGGGACGAAAGGCCTAACCGCACGGACACCAAATCTTGGCGGGCACTTCCGTATGTCAAGAACGTTTGGGAAGCTGTCGGCCGCCTTCTTGCACCACCTGGGGTTGGAGTGGCACATAGACCGGAGGCAACCATCAGGCTCCTGGTCATGAAACCGAAAGACCCACTGCACGGCTAGAAACGTCTGGAGTCGTTTATCGGATCTGGTGCAGTTGCGGGCAAAACAACTACGTCGGAGAAACCGGAAGACAACTCCGAACGAGAATGGCCGAACACGCGGCAGCGATGCGCAGAAATGACGCCAGCTCTCAAGTTGCGGCTCATTCGACGAGATCCGGCCACACATTCAAATTCGATGAGGTCGAAATTCTCGAAAGAGGTGACAACCGCGTGAGCCGGGAGCTACTGGAATCATGGTTTACTGGCCCCCAGTCCATCATCAAGTGCAACGATCTTCCTACTCCATACTGCGTGCTAAAACTTCGCCTAGGCGGAGTAACAAGCCATGCGGGGAGCGCAGAGGTGAACACTTTTCCCAACACCGGGGTCGGTGCGTCAGATGTTCGAGCAATCATCACGCCATCATCCAACGCACGTGATGAAATTGCAACAACTATCGACTCGAATGTCGGCCATCGAGCACTGATCACACCAAGTGCGACGATCCCGGATGAAGGGGGGAGCCGTGAATGTTCATAGATATGCGGTAGCATGGCTACGGCATCCTATAAATACCGCAGCCCCTTGTGCAGCAACCACCCGTTTCTGCTTTTTTGTCTCTGATGATGGATTCGAGTAGGAATCCGAAACGTCAGGCTAATAAAGCTCTTGTCCCGGCGATCGTGTCTCCTTCTTCAGTAACCCCTAACCCTAACCGCTAACTCGCACCCCTAACCCGTAATCCGAACCCCTAGGTTACAAGATATGCAATAAAACCAATTATTTTTGTTTCATCAGCTCACGCACTCCATGTGCCAACTTCCACATCCGAACGTACGCATCCAAGCAATATGTGTTTCTGTACGTTTATTAGAATACCTCTGTTAAGGAAGGGAGGGGTGGGGGCAAAAACGGAACGCATCAGTCTTAATTTCCTACCACGAATGCCGTGGACAGATATTTCCCAAACTCATATCCGGCCCGCCTACTCAGCTCGTCAACCAGCAGGAATCGAGTGAATCTGGAAATGATTGGTTAAATCCTTGGTCTTGAGGGTTGTGATTACACATAAAACTTGCCCTTCGTCATTAGACCCATTTGGAAGAATGTTTTGATTCCTAGGTTGCATATATGGGCATGGAGCGTCTGGTCGACATGTCCACCCATTCCCAAAAAAATACGAACACTGAGCATCATAGCAAAAGCCAAAAATCAATTTGCATATCCATGGCGGATGGAAGACAGCACAACACCTGACACTGACCTCCCTGATCCATGTGCAATTCGCTCTAGGTGTCAGAACGCCTGTGAAATTAAATCAACATATTAGCAGTAAGAGAATATTACATCGGAGAAGATCCATTCAGCAAGTATTTGTGCACCCGTAATTATACAGGAAACCAGGCATTACTGCTTTGGGTATTCTTTTGCAGGTAGCACCGTGAGTCAATTCTACACAAGCTGCAAAACATACAGGTTGGATTTCAAACGGTTATATATGGTCAGAAGAGCAGTATAGGTTCGCGAAAATGGAAGGATCGAAGCCGGCTGCTGGACCCTTGTAGGCGCGATCAGCAATTGCGTACTCAAGACAGTCATATCCTTCGGGGAAATAGTCCTGATGGAACTTGTTGGCAAATAACTTGTGGGAGTTTACCAATTCCGGCAAATGTTGAGATCCGAGAATGCAAATATCACGGACGTACTTGGTAGGACATGGGTTTGGCCTCCAGAGCTTGTAGCGGACAATCCCCGGAAGGCGAAGTACATCCACGTTCTCATCACCGAACTCGTGGAGATTCCGACAGGCGCCAGGCGCTCCCAAGTGTGCATTGTAGGCGAGGGTCCCGTACAACTGCTCAGGGGGGTGCTTCTTATATGCAAACTGACGCAGCGCTTCTGTCACCTCGATAGCCCTCTGGTCGTTAAACATGTACTCGACGAATTCCCTTTTGAGCACAACGTGATCCGCATTCTTCATCCATGTCAGCTTTGTTTCAGGTAATAATACAAAAGGAATTGCCTTATGAGTTATAGACAATAAAAGTTATCACAGTGCTAAGTGAGCATATAAACTCATAAACAACGACCATGCTCAAGATATCCGCACGGGATGAATACTCTCATTTGTCTTAACTATTTGAAGAGGCATACATGAACAAATTGGGATCAAACGTTTTGCAGCCTATTAACCAAGCTCAGCCAAGTTTTTTCGTCAGTCACGGTTATGAAACGAGGGATGTGGTGAGGCTGAGTAAACCAAGACCGGATGGAACTGCAATCACAATAATTTGATCATTGAGGAGAGGTAGTATCCGAAACAGTTTTTGCGCACTTGATTTGCATCTTGGGGAATGGGAGTCGAAAATTTATCAAACAGATTTTCCTAACTCTCCTAGAGATCGGCCCCTCAGTTCAGAGGCTAGGAAGATTAACTTCTAAACAACTGGTCGCGCGTTGGAGGCCCAGGAATTTTAAAAACTGGGATCGGATCTGGCGATCTAATGAAGACAAATAAGCCAAAACTGGTGGATTTAGTCTCCCTTGCCAGTTTCGGCAATGATACTTTGCATATGTGTACGTGGATACGCTTTACACGCACAATAGGTTTTTGCCTGTTCCTGAACCCCTATGAGCCATATGAAGCATCTTTTTTCCGGAAAGCCAGTAAATCGGTGTACGCCCATTCCTGAGAAAATAAATAACGGATCTGCAGCGGCAGAGAATGGCAGGTAGCGTGGTACTGATGAACGTCGATTCGATGAAGTGCTTATGACCCATGTTCTTGACCCCTCTGTGGACCATCTGCACCGTGAATGAGCACAGGCTTGGATTTCTGGTTACAGCTGCTGGTCAGGATTTCGGATGGCTTAATTAAGTCAAAGTAAGCCCAAAACAGTACTGTATCGAATTACGCGCATTCTCTGGCGATCCTCTGTGCTGAAATTATAACTTGGCCGACTTCGAACTCGTAGTTGGTCGTCATTCCATGACCTATGCCACCTATATGGAGCTTGTGTGCCTAGAGAAGTCAACATATCGGCGTGCATCCAGCTATGATTAGACTTTTACATATATATATATATATATATATCCCGCTCGTCATCAGTCAGACCAATTATCTAACAGAACTCGTCGGACAGAGGTGCCGTCGACAGATCACAATGCATAGTCGTCCATGGACTTCGTGAATCAACCAACGATAACCCCAGATCTATGGCAAATGCTGATAACATGACCTTGCAAGACTGTCTGGGTAACATAATAAAAAAAATTGAAGCCATTAAGATTCTAAAACTTTTCCACCTAAACAGGAAAGATAGCGCGAGCTCTCAAGGGACTAAACCAAGGCCTTTAAAGATAGTTTTAGAAAGTAAACTCCAGAGGGATCTTCTACTTGAACAAACAGTAGGGGGACCCCTGGCCATAGAGGTCTTTTTTCAACCGGATTGCTCATTACAAGAGAATGAAATGGAGGACGCTGAGGGCGGAGTTGGCGACCTTGAAAGAACAAGGAGAGAGGGGACTAGTAATAATGGACGGAGTGATTGTTCGACGACAAAAACATCTGTGGAGGACGCCTGCCATACTGACGAAGGACACACAGCCGGACAACTAATTCGAAACAACAACCTACGTTAAATTAAGTTCTTCTACGGAAATGTACAAAGCCTCTTGGACAAACTCGACGAACTTAAAATAATTGTAGCCGAACTATGGCCTGATGTTATTGCATTAACTGAAACGCGGCCCACCCCAGATGCCACAGACCCCAAATACACTTAGATGGTTAGCAAGTGCTAAGATGAGACCGAACCAAAAAGCGAGTTGGAGGAGTTGCCCTATATATCAGCAATGCGGTCGAATATAACCCCTTGAAGAATGTGTAAATGAGCATGATCTGGAGATTCTGCAGTGTCATTTGCTGGTCCCCAAAGTCGAAAACGTTACTGTCACCGTTGTATATAGGTCTGCAAACCAACCTGTCGACGAAGGTCAAGCGTTAATCACTCGACTCCGCGAGGACAGTCGAGAGCAAAACATTATTATTGTAGGAGATTTCAAAGCGCCGCGGAATAACTGGGACCTTATGACAGTTAAGGGCCACAGAAGAGGATTTGACCACGAGCTATTAGACGTGACATTCGATGGATTTCTGTTTCAACATGTACGAACTGTGACTCGGATGCGTGAAGGTCAGAGGGCTAGTTTCCCAAACTAACTTTTTACCAAGAACGTGATAAGCGTTGATGAAATAAATGTGGACCCGCCCCTAGGTTCTTGTGATCACATGGCATTAATTTGGGAGTCGACACTCGTAGCTGTCCGCGAACAATGCTCAAAGTCGTTAAGAAATGTCTGGCGGGGTAAATTTGAGGCAATGACATTAGAGTTTGGACACAGACTATGGACGGAAGCATTACGAAGAGATGTCAACGAATGCTGGACAACCTTCCAGTCAACTTTGAGAGACTTGATTGATTGATACTGTCTCCTCAAGAAACATCCAACCGGAAACCAACCGAAATGGCTGACAACATCGGTTAAGAAGGAAGTCTGACAAAAACTCAAGTTGTGGAAAATCTTCCTACAATCGGAGAACCCAGAAAATCTTCAGGAATTCGGACAACAAAGAACCTGATGCAAAAGACTTATCCGTGAAATACGAGCTCCTTATGAACTAAAGCTCCTAGAAGAGGCGCAGCAAAAATTTAAAGCCTTCTATGCACATATCATGAGCAATACGCAAAACCGGGACCATCTGGCAACCTCAAAGGACAAAAATAACCAAATTCTTAGCGGTGGCTTTCAAAAAGCCGAGCTTCTTTCCGAGTTTATCAAAAGTGTCTACACCACGGGACCACTCCTTCAGTCCTCTTCTCTTCCACAGCTCGCCAAACAACCACTTATAGACATAGTATTTTTTACAGCCCAGTTAGTTTTAGCAGAGTTAAATAAGCTGGATCCGGCTAAGTCACCTGGACCAGATAAGATCCCAGGTATACTACTACGTCAGTTAGTTAAAAAATTAGCAAAACCACTTTCTATAATCTTCCAAAAGTCGCCGCAAGCTGGTAAACTACCTGACACATGGAAGTTGGCAAACGTCGTACCTATCCACAAGGGAGGATCACGACTCTGTCCCACCAACTACCGACCGGTGAGTCTGACATGCATATGCCGCAAACTGATGGAAATGATAGTTAAAAAATCAATAACATCACTTGATACATTCCGCTGTCACACCACCTCAGTTCAACATGGCCTCTGCGAAAAGAGGTCCTGCCTCACAAACCTGCTTACGTCACTCGAACACTGGTCAACGCCCATGGATGAAGGACATCCAGTAGATGTCATTTACTTCGACTTCAGCAAGGCGTTTAATGCGTCCCACATAAGCGCCTCGTTCAAAAGTTCTCAGAAGTAGGGATAAGAGGAAATATTCTGAACTGGATTCAAGATTTCCTAAACGATCGAGGACAAAACGTCACTGCTGGTGGTTCCTGCTCAGAATGGGCACCTGCTACAAGCGGAGTCCCACAGGGGTCGGTTCTTGGGCCCCTCCTATTCATTATCTATGTAGATGACCTAGTGCGGGACGTGAAATCGGATATAGCGCTCTTTGCAGACGATCTTAAACTTTGGAGAGCCATAAAAATGAAGATGACGTCAAGACGTAGAGAATTTGCACACATAGAGCGAGGAATGGTGCATGAAATTCAACGTCAAAAAATGTGCATTAATGCACGTAGTATCAGCGAGGCGAAGAACAAATGCACCCCCACGACAGTATCTCCTGGACAATCAATCACTTAAAACCGATGATGTGCAAAAAGATCTCGCTGTATTCATTAAAGACTATCTAAGCGTCACCACGCAGTGTTATAATGTCGCAGCGCGGACAGTGTCAATCATGAGCGCGATAAGCAGAACGTTTATTCACTTGAATACAGATGTCTTTGGGAAAATATATGGGGCATTTGTGCGACCGCACGTGGAATATGCGGTACAGACTGATACTGATACTGACTGAAGATCCTAACGACAACAGTAACGGTCAAACGCTTACGCGGAAGTTATATGTATACCATTTATGGGCATAAACAGCGAGTATTTTTTCATTTAAAAAGGTACTGCACAAGTATAGGATCTCTCGCTACTTTCATGTCTAAAGAGGAGATTTTTGGGATTTTTCATTTAACTTATCAGAAAGATGTATTATTCTGGCTCCCGTAGGTTAGGCATATTTGGGTTTGCCTTTTTGGCGGGCGATTTGTATGCCCCACACAGATCATCTGATAACATGTAGTAAAGATATCCATGGAACAGCTGCATAACGTGCTTCGGCGTCCGAAAAATGGGACAATTCCCTTTTCAAACCCAAGCTGCATTCCGACCGGACTCAAGCTTGAGATGCTGCAATCAGCAACTATCCAGGTTGGGTTTGGTTAAAATGGACTCCAAGGATAACAGAATGCGGGGCATCCTGTTGTTTATTAAAAGTCGTCACCACTTTACTTAAGCAAAGTAACAAGCATTCTGAAATATGAGTGAAGTAATAAGAGACGTAACTGCTAATGAAAGACACTGGGAAGAAGCTTGGCCACACTAACTATCATGAGAAATGCTCCGAAGTCGAATTAAAGTACTATGAATAATACTTCGAAATATTGTTTACTTACCGGAAAAGATAAGTTGACTTTAGGGATTCGCCATTCGTTCCGACGTTTGAGGATGGCATCGACAATGTTAGAGCCGTTGAGCGCTTTGAGACCTAGCACTAATTCCAGATTTGTCTTCAGGGGTAATTCCTGGCCAGTCAAAGTTATCAGATACTTCCATTTCCCCATTTTGAGCAGCAGACGCGCGGCAACAAGCTCCTGTTCAAGGACCGTGTATTCTCCCCAGGTGACGTTAACACATTCGCTCCGAGGAACTACACCAACATTGTCCCCAAAACATTTTGCCACCTCTTGGACTGCCTTATAGAACATGGGTGGGGACTTCTTGTCCACGTGAATGGCGTAGAAGTTTTGTGGCCGATATATGAGGCGCAGTAGTCGCGCCACTTGATTAATATCCTTGTATACCATAAGGAGAAATGCCAGAGAAAATTCTCTCTCTGACTCGCGAATCGGTACTTCTGCAGGGAAAAGTTTTCGTTTGAAGTTCTTGCAGTTTTTACCGTGATGCCTGTTCATTCTTAGAAAGTATTCATGCGTCTCCAGGGGAATGAGTCGTTTGAACTCATTATGAATGTCCGGCGCGTTTTCTGAAAAGAGGACATGGCATCGTTGTGCCAGGTACTGTGCAGAAGAGAGGGTTGTCTCCCCTTCACGGGCGCGAGGAGGCAACGAGATGATCTTCCCATAAAGCAGGAACAAAATTATACTCAATGATATAAATATTACGAGACGATGCAGATGCCTCATCTGGTATACTGATATCGTCTGACTAGCCTGTGGGTCGGTTACTTATTTGTTGCCGACTGGAGCACCTCTGAAAGTTCTAGTGCTGGCGTTAAATATCGTTGCTTGCTTTAGACTCTACAATTGGTTAATTTCACACAGTGCAGGCCTGCGACTATTCGCCAAAGAACTTTGACTTGAAATAACGTTTCTTAAGCGCAGAAGCATACCTTTTCCGGCATGCTTGTTGAGGTGATGGTTGTCTACTTATGTTTTGTCCTTTAGATTTTCCAATATGATTCTATATAACCGGTTCAGTGTTTAGTAATTTTACACGCATCGGCACTTGTAGCTCGAGCCGGTCATTTCCTAAACCGGCTGATAATAGAGGAATGCTGAAAAATAGTTTGTCAGCCCGGTCACCAATATGTTTCATCGCAGTGCTTCACGGGTTAGAACTTCATTAGACTATGAGAGCTTGGTTGGTTTCGGAAGGTTAGAAAAGAAAATATGCAGTTTGCTGTAAGTTCTTACTGTGCTCTCTTTCCTTCTCGCTTGTATTGGTGAAATCAAATTTGATTTCATTCCCACAAAACATCCCAAATAAAAACATATATAGACCCAGTGGAATACCACATAAGTTGAAATTTATATGGTAAAAGCATCAAGCGTAGGTGAATAGCTCTTACTTACCTGTTTTCCACCAGGTCGTCATAGTTGCAGAGTTTCGATAATGTTTTATCTTCCGGCCGTGATTGACATGGGGACATAGCAGTGTTTAAGCTCAATGCGCAATGCCCATTAACTTATTGAAAGTAAACGTCACTGAGCCCATCGCAGATATAGCGGGTAATTTTGGTGAATTCTCAACATTATCGCAGAAATCTGGAAAATGAAAATCACCACCTAGCTAGATGAATACAGATGATGTAATAGGTCCTTCGAAGGGACTGAACCAGGACTTTGGAAATTGCTATTATTTCGAAGGGAATCGAAGATATAATTGGATATGAGAAGAATGGCCTAATTAATTTATTTGCGAAGAAACGGCGATGGCGGGAATAGTAAGTTTATGTTATAATTCAAAATACTGGTTCGCCTACCTCTGTATGATAAATTCAGATGTAAACGATCAGGCCGAAAAGTGGGTGAAGGTGAGCTCGGAAATATGGGAGGTTTGGGTCGAAAACTGACTGCAGGTGGTTTGGGCGGCTGTAGGGGTTGAGGAGGGAATAATCTTCGTCGTGATGTAGATGGTGGGGTCAATTACGTCTTCATCACAGTACGCTGGGTTGATTTGTATGTGTTTGAGAGAGCTCCTGCTGCAGAGAAGGTCCTGCAGCATTGATTTGCCCTTCTTGTCAGTGACAACCTGCAGGCAGGTACATCGCCGTGAAATAGTCGCTTGCATAGGCGTTCGTCATCCATCCTCGCGAGACTACCGTTGGTGCTGCGTGAGGTAAACTTGAATGAGAGATCAGATGATCGAGAATTAGGTATTCTCATTCTATAAGTTGCAAACCCAAGAAGATCCCGATTCATGATGGAACTCAAGGCTTCGGAAGCAGCAACATCAGCTAAAATATGTTACTAATACAATGTCGAAGATTATAAAGCATAAAAATAGATCGTAGGCAACGTCAACTGGGACTAGTTGCGCAGTCCTGCTGGGTGGTAACAGTTACTAAAAATGAATCAGTAATAGTCAACAGCATTAGTCAACCGTACACCCTGCTGTCTCGTATCATTCCACGAAGATTTGTACAGCACAGCGTCTAGGCCCACGAAATCATCCTTAGCCGGCGTAGGAAAGCGGGTGTGGATGCTCGGATTGTGCGTGTCTGCGCCTTCACAGGTCTTCGTCGTCGTCTCTGAATTAATCACCACACTCAGTCGCCACTGCAAGCAAAAAGGTCATGCGGAGATTGCGATGTGTAATCTGTAGGGGAACCATGCAAAATCGAGGCGTCATCGCTCTAAGCAATATTCGTGAATTATGTAGTACGATTCGATGTTTTTCCATTTGTTAGGCCATTCTAAGCACGTATTTGATGCTGTCTGCAGAAGAAATTTTGCGAAGGACCTACTTACTCCGGGGAGCGATTGCGCTAAAAGGAAGTAATTGGAGATATTTATTGTACGTGCCAGAGACAGGAATAAAAGGGCCTCGCAGTGGCTGTTGTGTGAAGGCGATCAAGATGCCTTATCGTAGTCAGACGAAGTGAAAATCGGACAGCTTACTACCTTCTTGACAATGTCTGCAACTGCGGCATTACATTCATTTACCACTTTCATTAAATAGTAAAAAATGATGTCCCAGTTTAATTGGTGACAATGCTGAGGATCAAAATATTTGATACCATAGATTTCTTAGATGTACAGCTCTTTTACTCAACACAAATGCTTCTTCGAGTAAGTAACCTCGGTCATACATCATACTCTTGCCCAACTGTCTCCTCTTAATCGAGCCAAACACACGGGCTAGATTTTGTTTTTGTTGGAAGGGCACAAAATTGCCGAAGTTCGTGTGTTGTCCAGGCCAGATTTCCATCTCATAGACATTCCTTTGGACGCTTCCGTCAGGTCTTCTATTTAGAAGGACATCTAGGAAAGGGAGCGAACGAGACTTCCCATTTTCTACGTGAAACTGCTTGACTGCTTTTTCTAATTTACCAAATTTAAGAGACCAACTATGTCAGTTTTTGTGATGGCAATTACAAAGATGACACCAATGTAGCGACTGGAATAGTTTATTTTCTTGGTCCGAGCGCATGGTTACAATCTATTCAGCTTGCTCAGGAGAACATCGTCTGAAAAGGGCTCAATATGCATTGCCAGCATAACGTTGTCTAACTGCCAATGCAGCAGGTTTTGAAGAAGAAACTGCATATTTAAAGTGCATCACGGTAATATTTCCTTCAGTGTGTTCGTCGAAATTCCTATGTCCTTGTGATGGGTTGATAAGAATTCGCCGACGTTATCAAAATTCTTGAGACGTCAGAACGCTTGTAAAATTGTGATGTTTTATAAATTTGAAGCATTTCGCCCCTGGTACGAAGCTGAAGCAGGCAAGCAGGGCAGGATTTAATGGTGCCAAGAAACTTCGCGACGGCTCGTCAGCTGCGTCCTGTGGCTTCAAAATATAGATAGCGAGTGGGAAGAATACAAGAGATTTGAATTCGGGCATACAATCAATGCAGAAACAACAAGGTCATGGTTTTGGGTAAAGCTGTATAATGGATAAAGTTAGAAAGTCAACACCGCATGGAAAGAAGTGTGGGAAAAAGGGGCGCTAAAGAAGAAGAAAGAGATGCGAAATGAAAATAATGGAGCTAAAGGCTACCATGGCAATATTAGGCTAACCACGTGTTCAAACTGTGTACAAAGATCTGGGTTTACCCGCCGTATATAGGCAGAAGAATTTATTTATAATCTGTCTAATACTAAACTTATTAAACTACAAACCGAGGCTCTGTCGTTAGGACTTGATTTCTGTGTCCCCAAACAAGGGATTAATACTGTGGAAACTGAAGCGCAATTTATGGACTTGAATTCTCAATTATCTGAATTGATACCCAGATCTTCTGACGACGTGGGCTACCTAAAAGCAAAAGTTGTTAATATTTCGCACCAGTCCCCCAGAGCTCCAATAACACAACGCACACCTATATCTTAAGAGCATATGACTGCCCTATTTGCATTGAAGCATCATAAACAAATAATAATTTCCAAACTTAACAAGGAGCATGAGGTTGATATTTTAAATCATAGTGACTACGTGACAAAAATGGAAGCTATATTACGTGATCAGAGTAAATTCCGTTTAGAAACTTCGGGAAAGGAAGAAACCAAGACATTGTAGGACTCGACCTTGAAGGCAATAAGAACGTGGCCGGACAACAATTTGTTGGACTTCAAAACAGCGTTTTGCCTGAAACCCTGGGGATTCATATACTCGCAGACTTTATGCACTACCAAAAACGCATAAAAGTGATATACACCTAAGACCAGTTTTGTCTATGTATAATTCACCTTTTCACACACTAGCACAGTGACAAGTCAAGGAACTCAAGCCAATCCGACGACGGTTTACTACTGATACGCTAAAAGACAGCTTTCAGTTCACTAAGGAAATCAGACATCAAGACATTTCGCGCAAATACATGATATCCCTGTATGTAGAATCACTATTCACTAAAGTACCAATCGCGTGTTGCCGCAGGTTCACACGGATATGTATCTGACAGAGTAGGCCACTACGATGGCCGAATGTGAGTAAGCAGTGTGCGCAGTTGGGGCGGGTATAGTGGGTGCATGCTATAATTCTAGAAACCGGTTCGTCTGCATCTGTAGGATGGACTCAGAAATGGACGATCAGGCCAATACGTGAGTGAAGTTGCGCTCAGAAGTATGCCAGGTTTGGGTCGAAACCACACTGCTGGTGGTGTGGGCGGTTGTGGGGTTTGAGGAGGGGATAATCGTCGTCGTGGGTGTCATGGCAGGGGTAATAGAGATGGTGGGTTCGACTACATCGTCAATAGAGATCGCTAAGTTGATTTGTACGTGTTTGAGAGAGCTCAAGATGGTCCTGCAGCTTCGTTTTTGCAATTCTTGTCAGCGACAACCATCAGCTATTTAAATCGCCGTGCAATAGTCGCTTGCATAGGCGTTCGTCATCCATCGCC